CACGCCTCTCTCAGCCAGTGAGCGGCCGGTCTGTATGTGGGATCCGAACCATCGGCGGGAGCGCCGCCGCGCTTCCCAAGCGGCGCACTGTAGCAGTGCGCCACCGGGCCGGCCCTCAACCAGCTCTTTCTGGCCTCCGAACTGCTCTCTAATCATATGAGGGTACTCCAAATAGTGCGTGGAAAATGGAATTAAAAGATAATATGAATCTTTTCATGAATTCTTTGAAGACCCCTCGTAATAACATTAGTTACAAGAATTATTGTAAGAGCTGACTCTTACTGGCTGTCCCCATGGCCAGTCTTGTGTGAAGTGTTTTGCGTACCTTGTCTGGATTAGGTTTTCTCTAAAGCCCTAGGAAGTAGGCACTCTTATCTCCATTGACAGGTAAAAGATCTGAGGCTCAGAATGGGAAAGTATTACCTGAAGTCACACAGTTTAGAGCTCGGGTGCCAAGATCCAAACCCAGGTGTATTTGGCTCTAGAGCAGCATTGTTCAGTAGAAAGCTACATGTCACAGTTGGTTTTCTGGAGACCACACTAAAAAGCAAAAAGAAGCAGGAGATAGAAATTTTAATAATTTATTTATGTAACCTGGCATAGCCAAAATATGATCATCTCAACATGTAGTCAGCTAAAAAGATTACTTTTCATGCTGTTTGCATTTTGTGCTAAGTGTTTTACATTTTGTGCTAAGTGTTTGCATCTGGTGTGTATTTGCACTCGTGGCACATCTCAGTTGAGACTGACCACGTTTCAGGTGCCCAATTGCCACATGTGGCTGGTGGCTCCTGTACTGAGCAGCACAGGTCTAGAGCAAGTGCTCTTGGCTGCTGAGCCCCCATGCCTTCTTCCCTGTCCCTGGGGGCTTGGGGGCCCCCATCCATGATGAGGGAAGGGGCCATTTGCTGGGGAGCTTGGAGGATCTGGGGTGACGGTCATTGTTTTTTTTTTTTTTGTCTTTTTTCGTGACCGGCAACGGATCGCAACCCTCAGTGTTGCGCCCGTACCGGACCGGGACCGGCAACGGGATCGCAACCCTCGGTGTTGCCCCCGCTCCTCGCTCAGCCAGTGAGCGGCCGGTCTGTATGTGAGATCCGAACCCTCGGCGGGAGCGCCGCTGCGCTTCCCAAGCGGCGCACTGTAGCAGTGCGCCACCGGGCCGGCCCCAACGGTCATTGTTTTTACTGCAGCCTGAGTCACAGCGAAGGGAGTTTGCAGAGAAACTGGAGTCGCTGCTGCACCGTGCCTACCACCTGCAGGAGGAATTTGGCTCCACCTTCCCCTCGGACAGCATGCTGTTGGACCTTGGTGAGCTGGGCCCAGCGCAGGCTGGGGTGGGGGTGGCAGGAGTGGAAGTGGTGGGAGGTGAGAGAACTGGGGTAAGGTTCCATCAGCATCAGACAGGTCAGAATCCCCAGGGCCCTCGGACCTCAGCCAATCCAGTGCCTTCTTGCACAGATGAGGAAACAAAGGCGTTCCCTTATATGGGGCAGTTAGGAGCAGAGCCAGGATGAGGTCCCAGAAGTCCCTGGACAGTGCACATAGCCCCATCCCCTTGGGAACAGGCCTTGATGTCTCAACATCTCCCTGATGGCTCCTCCCGTTCCCTTATATGGGGCAGTTAGGAGCAGAGCCAGGATGAGGTCCCAGAAGTCCCTGGACAGTGAACATAGCCCCATCCCCTTGGGAACAGGCCTTGATGTCTCAACATCTCCCTGATGGCTCCTCCTGGCCTGTGGTCTGAGCCCTCTCCGGCAGCACTGGGTGGGCGGATGGGATGGCTCCCTTGGAGGTAAGCCCAAAATGGCCAAAGGGCTGAGAACAGAAGGCCTGCTGCTGGCCCCTTGGAGGTAAAGCGATGTGTGTCACAAAGACAGAACCGAGTTGTTCAGCCAGTCAGCCACTGTGTGCCAGACCCTTGCAGTGAATGTCATCCCTGGGTGCTCTCCGCCCCATGGGGGCCAGACTCCTGAGGGTCGGGATCCCTAGCTCCACCAGTGGCGACCCTGGGGCCTGGAGAGGGTTGGCCATGGCTACACATGCTGCCCTCGCTTCTCCCCGCGTGGCCTCAACATGGCTTTGCCTGTCGGAAGAATCCACCTGGTGGGGGACGCTGGTCTGTGGCCTTTCGTTATTTTTTCCACAAACCTTTCCTAAGCGCCCTCAAAGGTCCAGACCCTTCTGCCCTTGAGTGAGCAGGGATGGGAGCGCCGAGGGAGTGGCCCCTGGACTCCTTTGAGCCCTTTGGTATCAGTGGCTAAGTTTCAGCTTGTCAGAGAGAGGAAGTGAGTTGTGCAGGGCCACACAGCACTAGAGTCCTCCCTCTGCAGGGCTCAGGGGCCACCAGGCCTCAGATCCAGCAGTGTGACCAAGTTTGAGTCCCCCACCAGCCTCACATCTACACCTAACATGTGCTCACCTCCAAGGATGCTGTGAGGACTGGAGGAGGTGATTCATTTGAGGCCACAAGCCCAGTGTCTTCACGCAGAAGGTCTCAGCAATAGGAGCTTTGTGATCACTGGCATCACTCGCCCCAGATGGTACCTCCACTGAGCTGGTCCTGCTGGTGGCCTGTGGACTCTGGGGTTCCTGCGGGGAGCCTCCTCTCAGCCCCCTCTGTGCTCTTCCCAGAGAGGACCCTCATGCTGCCCCTCGCTGAGGGCTCGCTGCGTCTACGTGCCGACGACGAGGACAGCCTGACCTCGGAGGATTCCTTCTTCTCCGCCACAGAGGTGACTGGAGTGGGGGATGTGTGGGGGTGGGGTGATGGCCTGGGCTCCTGTGCAGGCCCTGGGGTGAGAGAGCATAGGTCGTGGGAAAGCGAAGGCATTTCCTCTGATGGGAGCAGAATCTGGCAGTTACCAAGTGCTGCTCCTTGGGGACTCTGTGAACTTGCCAGGGATAGAGTGGCCTGAGAAGCCAGGGTCGTGGGTCATATGGGTGAGAACAGAGGCCTGCCCCAACAGCTTCAGCCCACACTGACCTCTGACTTCTCTCTTCTTGATCATGGGCCCGTTTCTTGGCATTAGTCTCCTGCCCTGGGCACGTGTGTCAGGCACAGTGTCCTCGCCTGGGATGGGTGTGTGTCCAGTAGATGACCATTCAGGAAGGGCCCTTGGAGGTAGGGATGCTGAGGGCTGGAGCTGGACTTGAATGCAGGCTTCCCGTCTGGGGCCCTTGTTCCCTCTGACATCCCCTCTAAGAGGGTGGCAGTGGGCAGGTCCCTCAGGTGGCCCCTGCTGGTAGACTGAGGGGCAGGGCACCCTCACCCCGGGGATGCGGCTCACACAGGCTTCCATGGCCCCCCTTCCTCTGCACCTTCCCCAGCTCTTCGAGTGTCTGCAGGTTGGAGATTACCCAATCCCACTCTCCAGGCCTGCTGCCGCCTACGAGGAGGCCCTGCAGCTGGTGAAGGAGGGGAAAGTGCTGTGCCGGACCCTCCGGTGAGCGGCTGTGGAAGGAGGGAGGGAGTGGAGAGTGAGCCCCGGCCCCTTCGAGGAGCTGGAGAAGCCACTGGTGCTTGGTGTGGACCCCACTGGTGGGCGTCCAGGCTGGCTGAGGGCCGTGGTGGGCTGGCACAGCTCCTGCCCCCAGCCGCAGATGGCCTAGACTACCAGGAGTGGCAGGTCTGGTGTTAATAACAAATTAGTATAATAAATTAATAAAGTAACAATAGTTAATACTTGTCGGAGTTCTCAGAGGGGTCCAACCACAGCAACACAGCGGGCACTCTTCCTCTGCCCAGTGTCCTGACCCTCCCTTTATAGCAGAGGTCAAGGACATCTATCTCCCCAGTGGCGCCTCTTGGCCTCTGGTCTGGCCGTCTCCTGCGGGCGCTGGGTGGGTGAATGGGATGGCTCACATGGAAGTTAGTCCAAGGCAGGGCAAAGGGCCACAAACAGAAGGGGACAGACAGACCTGCATGTGGCCCTGAACAAGTCACCTAACTTCTCTTAGTCCCAGTTCCTCATCTGTGATTATATTTAGATCTTTTAGTCATCTTAAATGAACTTTTCTGTGTGGTATGAAACTCAGAACTTGGCTTTTTGATCATGGCTTGGAGATTTAAGAAAGTGTGTTTATAAGGTCTCTGACCAAAAATGGTGGGAGCTCAGGTTGAAGTCATGGTGATTTGGATAAAGGGTAGCCAGAGTGGGTGGCAACCCCTACGTGGGTTTTCTGCTGCTAGGAGCAAGTTGGCCATTTTGGTCCTTTGCCAGTGAGGTTTTAGGGCCGGTTGAGGCCAAAGTCAGCCCAGCCCCCATCATCAGACCTGCCATCTGTGCCCAGTGCTGGGGAGGCCAATAGGTCCTCAGAGAGTGTCCAGGTAGCCTCTTTGGCCTGGGGGAGACCGAGGCCTAGGGGAGGCAGGCACCAGCCAGAGGTCGCACTGCTTCACCGAGGCAGGGCCAGGGCTGGAGCCAAAGCCTCACACCTCCTCAGGCAGGGCACCACCCTGACCCCCACCGAGGCATTGCTGGGAGGGAACCAGGTGGTGTGACGCTGTCTGTTCTTCCCCTCAGGACAGAGCTGCTGGGCTGCTACAGTGACCAGGACTTTCTGGCTAAGCTGCATTGTGTGCGGCAGGCCTTCGAGGTGGGTGTGGTGCAGGGGCCGTGTGGGGAGGATGGAGCTGGGGGTGGGAGCAGTCAGGCTGGCTGCGACTGGCGTGCATGTGGCGGATGGGGTTACCTAATCCAGCATGTTGTACCGTCTTCTCCACGGGCTCTCAGGGCTGCCATGCCCAGCAGCTCACTCCCCTCCCTTCTTCATTGCTCAGGGGCTTCTGGAAAACAAGAATCACCAGCTGTTCTTCGGGGAGGTTGGCCGGCAGATGGTGACAGGCCTGATGACCAAGGCTGAGAAGGTAGCGGGGGGCAAGGGGGCTTTTTTCCCAGGTTTTCTCCTTCCCACCACCACTTTTATCTTATTTTTTTAAAACTTTTAATTGTTACCCCCCCAAAACAAAACAAAACAAAACAAAACAAAATCCAAACAAGGATTCAGATCCCTGCACTCGCCAGCCACAAATTAAAAAAAAAAAAGAAAGAAAGAAAAAACAGAGTAAAATCAAGCAGAGGAGCGTTGACTTCATGTTGTAGGCCATGAGGAAGCTGGGAAAGGGTTGAGATTTTCTTTCCTGTGCTAATTTTGAAAAACATAGATCTGTATTGCTTTTTCATACTGATTCCAGCATAACACAGTTTTACAAAATTCACCAATTACACAATGCAAATCACGGAAGGTCCCCCTGAACCCCACCTGCCAGGGGTTACCACTACTGGTTCCATGGAAGCTCTCACGCTTGAACATTGTTACTTAATTTCCAAACCTCTGAGCCCTCCTTACTGTTCTGCGGCTTTGCTTTGTGGTGGACAGTATGTCTTGTCTGTTGTTGCACGGCAGCACGTGGAGCTGTTTTTATTGATTGTGCGGTATTCCGTCATGTGGACTGGCTGTGATTTTTCCGGTTCCAGGGTGGATGGACGTTTGGGTTGTGTCTGATTTTTTGCCATCATAGGCCTCACTGCTCTAATCGTCCCCACGCAGATCTCTTTAGGTACTTGTGAGGTCTTCTGTGGAGCAAAGTCCTAGGTGGGGCAGGTGTGAGCCCCGGGCACGGACATTTCACAGGCCAGCAGATCTTGCCAGTCTGCCTCGACAGGCCTTGACAACCTAGGTCGCTGCCTGCAGTATAAGAGTGTTTCCTCACATCTTGGCCAACACCAGATATTAGTAAACTTTCTACTCTTTGTTATTTTATCCATTGCTTTATGGCTCTTTGGTTATTGATGAAGTTGATAGTTTTTCATGTTTATTGGCCACTTGTGTTTTTCGTTAACAGGTTTGAGCAAATCTTTTTTTTTGGTGGGGGGTGGGGACAACTAGCTGGTATGGGGACCTGAACCCTTGACCTTGGCATTACAAAGCAGCTCTCTAACCAACCGAGCTAACCGGCCAGTCCTGAGCAAAGCTTTTGAATAGGCCTCTCCCCTCTGAATCCTTTCTCCTCCCCTGCTGGAGTGATGATTCTAAAACGCGTGACCTCACCAGCCAGCTGCTCGCCCCTGCCTTGCCCTGGTGAGCACCAGCTTTGCTGGGTGGCTTTGCTGGGTGGCCTGCCACATTGCCACGGCTGGAGCTCCTGATGCACACCGGCCTCTCTGCTGGCTTTGGTGTTTGCTCACGCTGCTCTCTCTGGAACACTGTTCTGCTGTTTTTTTTGTTTTTTTTTTTTAAACAATTTTATTGTGAAACGCACATAGAAGAGTGTAAAAAAGTATAGAATTTAATGAATAAAAAGACAAACCTGTGCACCCAGCACCCAGGTTAGAAAGTGGAACATATACTGGTATCTGGAAGTCCCCAGTCTCCCTCCCTCCCCCTTTCTTTGGTCGCTCATCTTCTGAGTCCCCACCTGCCATCTCTTTCCTGACTCACTCACTTTGCCGATGTGGCCTCATCACCCCACACCCTGCTCCTAGGTTGTCCTGTCCTCCTCTGTCACTAGTGCACTCTACAGCACAGGTGTGTGCCCCGTCCAGGACCTGGCACAGGCCGGGTGCTCCATAAACATCCATCAGATAGTTCTTTCAGCAGCTGCCATTGACCAAGCAGTGAGGTCACACCTTACTCACGTTTCTTTACCTCCAGTCGCTCATTTGAGCCTCGCCACAGACTCTGCTTGGCGGGTGGGGAGGCTGAGCCTGGGGAGGGAAGGGGGCTTCCCAAGCACTGAGCTGGGATTTGAAGCCAGGTTAGCCTCACCCTACCTGTGCCCTTAGCCTGCTGTCTGGGGGCCTGCCCAGGAGGGCAGAGGAGCTAACAAATTAAGGAAGTCTAAGGTGCTGGGAGCGCTGCAGACGGGCATCTGCGGAATGTGCTGTAGACCCCAGCCAGGGCTGCAGGTCCCGGAGAGTGAAGCTGCCCTGTGTGTGCTGAGAGTCTCGGCGCTTGGCAGCGGCAGTCTCCCACATTATTTATTGAACACTTAGGTGCCAGGTGCTGGGCTGATTGCGTTACACTTCCTGCGGCCTCCACCCCAGTGTAGAACTTAGGATTCCTCATTATTAAGAATTGGAGGGCTGGCCAGTTAGCTCAGTTGGTCAGAGCATGGTGCTGATAACACCAAGGTTCAGGGTTCAATTCCTGTACTAGCCACCAGCCAAAGAAAAAAAAAGAGCTAGTCATTTGCTAATTTTGAATTCCCAGAATTTCAATTATAAACAAAAAGGACTGAAGTATATTCACAGTAAGAAAAAAAAAAAAACAATTGGAAGAGGTTGTTGAGCAGCTTCTGAGCACCAGAACCTTCCCTGAGCCCAGGCCTAGAGTAGTAACCCATGTGCTCCATTAGGGCTTTCCAGGCAGGCAGAGCTGAGGCCAGGCCCCGGTCTGGGAAGATGCTGGCCCTGTGGGAAGCGCCCTGGCCCCAGAGTTGTGGCATTGGGTCACTCCCTTGCTGTGTGTCTGTGAGCCAGTCCTAAAACATCTCCAAGCCTCAGTGTCTTTGTGTACAAATGGGTGTGTCCCAGGGACACTGTGAGATAATGTTAGACGTGCTCAGCCAACCACCAGAAGTGTTAAGGGCCAGCCCTTGTCTTCGTTGTTGTTGTCATTTATAGATGAGGAAACTGAGGCTCAGAGAGGTTGACGGGCAGCCCAGGGCCATCCAGCAAATTCTCTTTTAAAACTTGATGAAAGGGCCCAGCCTGTGGCTCACTTGGGAGAGTGCGATGCTGACACCAAGGCCACGGGTTCGGATCCCATATGGGGATGGCCGGTTTGCTCACTGGGTGAGTGTGGTGCTGACAACACCAAGTCAAGGGTTAAGATCCCCTTACCAGTCATCTTTTAAAAAAAAAAAATGCAGTTGTTTTATTGTTTATTTTATTTATTTATTTTTTTAAAAAGATGACCGGCTGGGCCGGCCCGGTGGCGCACTGCGCTTGTGCGCCGCTTGGGAAGCGCGGCGGCGCTCCCGTCGAGGGTTCGGATCCCACATACAGACTGGTTCCCGCTCACTGGCTGAGCGAGGCGCGGGGGCAACACCGAGGGTTGCGAAGTAAGCCATGGGCTGGCCCTGAAAATATTGTTTTAAAAAATGATTATAAAATTATGCATGCTCATTGTAGGAAAAACTAAAACAATACCAAAAAGTAAGAAAGAACAAAAGAAAAATTGCATTGATTCCACCTTGTTCACATTTTGGTGAATGTCTGTCTGGCGTCTCTGCCTGTGGTTCTTTATAAATGGCATCAACCTGCCCATGCTGTTGTGTGTCAGCTCTACCCGATCTGGCTCTTGGGCACATCACTGACCTCCCCTAGCCTCAGTATGTCTATCTATAAAGTGGGTGTAATAATGGAACTCCCTCCTGGGACCATAAGAAATAAATGAGTTAATCTGTGCTTAGAACAGACTCAGTCAGGTGCTGTCTTTCCATGTCCATGAATGCAGACCCACAACTGCAGATTGTGTTGTAAGCCCCAGCTAAGCCTGTGGGTCCCAGAGAGTGAAGCTGTGTTGTGTGTGCTGAGAGTCTTAGCACTTGGCAGCAGCAGCAGCAGTCTCCATTATTTATTGAATGCTTAGGTGCCAGGCGCTGGTCTTGTTTGTTTGTTTGTTTTTGTCTTTTTGTCTTTTTTTCCGTGTCCGGCAACGGATCGCAACCCTCAGTGTTGCCCCGTGAGCGTGGGGCTGTCTTCTCCCATTTCACCAATGAGGCCCAAGATCATGGAGATTTGAATCTTTGGTGCCTGACTCTGAGCCTCACATTCTCATGTATCCCTCCAAAGTGAGGTCATGCTGTAGTACCATGCACAGCTCCTGAAAGGCAGTAGGTGCTCAGTAAATGAGCTGTAGGAGACATTGCTGGCTTTCCTGGTTCCCGGGAGAGGCATATTGCGGTGGGCAGGAGACACTTCCTTGCCTCTTTTCTCCATGGCTGCTGCCCAAAGATAGGCCCCAGCCTTGCCTTGTCCACCACCCACCTATCCCTGTGCATCATCTCATCCAACTGGGTCTCAGGGCCTCTCCCATGACTAGGACAGGCTGTGCTTCTCCCTGCAGAGCCCCAAAGGGTTCCTGGAGAGCTACGAGGAGATGCTGAGCTACGCCCTGCGGCCTGAGACCTGGGTCACCACACGACTGGAGCTGGAGGGCCGCGGGGTGAGTTGGTTTGTGCTGAGCCCAGCATCCTGGGGTCCCCGACACCAGAGATCATTGAGCAGGGAGGGCTGCCTGTGCTGACCTCTGTCTCAGTTCTGAGTGGCTGAGATGGCTCCATTGCTGCGTAAGGCCCCTGGTTCCCACACTTGCCCCAGGCTGAGGAAGACCACCCAGCTGCACCCACTGCACTGCAGAGGGGGAGGATGTGTCTCCTCCCATGTGCTCACCCCCAGCATCCTTTGGCCTCATCTTCCCATCGGGACAGTGGACCTGCAGCTCAGGCACCCCCGCCTCTCGCAGGTGGTATGCATGAGCTTCTTCGACATCGTGCTTGACTTCATCCTCATGGACGCCTTTGAGGACCTGGAGAATCCCCCATCCTCAGTGCTGGCTGTGCTGAGGAACCGCTGGTTGTCAGACAGCTTCAAGGAGACGGTGGGTTGCTGCCCCCACTCTGAACACATGCATGCTCATGTAACCGTGTGCACTCACCGGCCCTGTTCCCTCTGTCCCTGGCTTGGGCACCAGCCTGGGCACCCACCCATCAGACAGCACCTGGGCCAGCCCCCCTGCGATGGGGCTGCCGGGTCTGGGAGACTAGGCATCTGCTCTGGAGAAGCTGCCCAGGGCTCTTGTCTGCCCCAGTTGAGAAGCCACGGGGTGTGCATTTTCTTCCTGTATCATGGTTTCACTTAGTTAATTCTGCTCCTTCTGTGCTGGTATTAATTCTCTTCAATTTTAATGCATCCTGTTAAATCAAGTTGAAATAGGGAAAAAAAAAACAAAAAAACGAAGAGTGGGAGTGCCCAGCGCAGGGTCTCAGCAGGGCGAGTGGGGACCTCCAGTAGCTGTGCTGTGCTGCAGGGGCTGGTCTTCTACAGGCAGTTCACAGGTGGTAACCACCGCTCCTCACAACCACCGGAAAAGGTGGGGGTGCTATGTTGTGGCCATTTGACAGAGGAGGAAATTGAGTCTCTGAGTAGATCAGCAGCTAGTCCACGGACCTGCAGTAGTAAGGGTTAGAGTCAAGATTTAAATTTAGGTGTGTCTAATTCCAAATTTAGGGGAGGGCCACAGCAGAGTTCAGGCACCAGCCCCGTTTTCCTGCTTGTGGTGGGGTGTGCTGAGGATGAGGGCATGGTCCTGGGATGGGGATGGGGAGGCTGTGGGCCGGGCCTGTTCTGACGCCCCAGGTGTGGTCCCGTCTTTGATTTAGGCCTTGGCCACGGCCTGCTGGTCAGTCTTGAAAGCCAAGAGAAGGCTGCTGATGGTGAGTGAGTCAGTATACCCCGGGGAGTGCCGTGCTGGGCCCTAGCGTATCTAGCGCTCCCTTGGCCTGGTGCCCAGATCAGCTGACCCCGTTCTGTGGCTGGGGGGGCTGGTGCAGGGAGGCCTCACTGAGTCCCCGGACCCCCTGCACTTTTTGGCCTTTGTCACTCCCAGCACTGGCCACCTGTCCTGCCATTCCCCTTCCCTTGGCAGGGAGCTCCCCAAAGGCATGTGTAGATCTGCTTCATCTTCTCTCCCAGGGTCCCGCATGGAGCAGGCCATTGGGAAATGTCCAAGGAATGAGAAGAGGGGAAAGGCATCTGGGGAGTGTGGGTGGGCACTGCATGGGAGCGGGAGTGGCGCCAGCCTGGTTGAGGTGTCTCATGGGGCAGGCAGAGCACCATCCCTCCAGCCTGTGGGCTGCTGCTATCTGCACTTCCAGGCGGCCATCTGCTGTTCCCTCTGCTAGCCAGGCACTGCTGCTGCACTTCCTGTGTGGGGCCCACCACTTTCCCTCCCTCGCGTGGGTCTCACCCTTGTCTGCAGAAGTGAACATGGGGCTCCACCAGTTCCATCCTCTTGCCCAGGGCCCTCTAGCAAGAATGTGAATGAGCAGGGCTCTTCTAAAGCCCTGCATGACCCCAGGGCCTTGCAGTGTGCACTCTCTCCAGGCCCCAGCGCCATCCCTTAGCCTTGCTGCCTGCCACAGGTGCCTGATGGCTTCATCTCCCATTTCTACTCCGTATCGGAGCATGTGAGCCCCGTCCTCGCCTTTGGCTTCCTTGGCCCCAAGCCCCAGCTCGCTGAAGTCTGCGCTTTCTTTAAGGTAAACGGAGCATCACCTGTTCTGCCCCTCCCCCTGCCGTTGGCCCAGGAGCCTGGCAGTGGCTGCCAGTGGTGCGAGGGCCTGAGGGCCGGGCCTGCTCCCTGAGGAAGCACTGGGAGGAGGGATGGGGCCCAGGGTGGGAGAGAGTGGACTGGGGCTCTGGTGGTGGAGAAGGGGATCATGGGTTGTCTGGAAGTTGTAGGGGGGCAGGGGCCTATGCCAGCCCTGTACCCCTAGCACCAGATCGTGCAGTACCTGAGGGACATGTTTGACCTGGACAATGTGCGCTACACGTCGGTGCCAGCCCTCACGGACGACATCCTGCAGCTGTCCCGGCGCCGCAGCGAGATCCTGCTGGGCTACCTGGGGGCACCGGCAGCCAGCAGCATTGGCCTGAATGGGGTGCTGCCCCAGGAAAACGGGCCCCTAGAGGAGCTGCAGTAGTGGTGGGCACAGGCTGGCGGGAGGGGTGGCTGCCTGGGCCTTGTTCGCAGTGACGGCAGAGAGAAGGCTGCCTCCTCCCTTCCTTTGGGTTGGCATCCAAGTGCCATGTGGCCAAGGGCAATCACCCCTGACCTTGCCCCAACCCCAGTCATCTGGGAATCCCCAAGGGGATTTCTGTGGAGAAAGATGGAGCCCCTCGGGGCCCACCTGACTGCCCTCACCAGTCCCCAGGGAAGCAGAGGTCGGGGCCAGTGGTCAGCAGGGCCTGAGGGAGAAGGTGGTGGTGAAAGAGAGAGGAAGGTGTTGAGAATTGGGAAAGGCAGAGCTGAGATGCCCTGGTTGTGGGAACCCAAGACCTGTTGCCCCAGGGCTGCTGACGGGGGGCTAGGAGGATGGAGGTGAAGAATGGAGGTAGGCAAGGCCCCAGTGAAGCTCACAGTGTCCAGAGCTAGAAGCAGACGACAGCTGCATGGTCTCAGAACCGAGGCATCCAGCTGGCCGTCCTGATGGCCCCCCAGCCTGGCCACTACCATAGAGAGTTTGCAACTCCAGAGAGGGAGAGTGGGGGGCACCTTGGGAGGTGGCAGGCCTGGCCATCCAGAGGTGGGCCTTCTCTCCCTATACTCACTTCTGGGCAGGGACTGGGCCCCTGACAAATCGAAACACCCACTGGGACATGTCCTCTGACATTCCCTTGCCCTGCCAAAGACTGTCATTTTCCTCCCACCTCTGCCGCCACCAAAGACAGGAGGAGGGGCTGGGTGTCCTGCCCCCACCCACCTCCCTCTGTGAGCCCGGAACTCCCTGGGTGGTGCTAAGCTCTGAGCTGGGGGCCCTGACCAGGGACAACTCTCAGGCCCCTGTCACCTGTGCTGCATCGGTGGCAGCCCCAGGAGTGGGGCCCAGGGACCACATCAGGGGGGGTCAGAGGATGTACGTGGCTGGATCAGCTCCAACCACCTTCATTAGGACAAAGAACTTTGCCTTCAACTTGATGCACAAACGCGCTCAGAACCGTGCAGGAGCGCGGAGCCCGCTTCCAGGCTGGCACCATCCACTGGTCCTGTTAGCATTTGTGCCAGCAGCCACATCACACCGCAGGGTTCCCGGCAGCCCTGCAGACTTGCTTCTCTCACAGTGTTGTCACCATAGCTGGGAAGTTTTATTTATTGCCTTAACACTTCATTCTGAGGTTCTGCCCCTTTCCAGGTGAGAGACCTGCGGGAGGAGTAGACTCCTCTTGGTTTTTCATGCTCTGGACTTAAGAGGACATGGACTTCTCCCCCGAATGGCAAAGGGGTTCCTGGGGTGGGAGAGGAGACAGGGAGGGTGATGCTGGGTGTGTCCCATCATCTCTTAGCCTGGTCCCCAGGCTGGAGAACCCATGAACACTAACACGGTCTGGCTCCCATCCCACTTCTCCAACCTGGGCGGGAAGGACCCAAGGCGCCTGCCTCCATCCTGACATTCCGTTCATTTGCACTTACCCTGCGCTGTGAATGTAATCTTGGGCCCGGGCTGTGGCCTATTCTGATTGCTCCCAAGTCACACAGAAGTGGCATTTTTATTTGTCTGTTTACACATCCACACACTGCCTATAGCACTTGATTTGTTGCAGCTTCCAACTTTTGTATGGTAGAGCGTGTGCGTCAACTGCAAGTCAAATAAATGATGCAAGCGATATCTGCCTATGTTGCTGTGCTGCTGGGCACACAGGTGGCCATTTGCTTCTTGGGCCAGAGCCAGGGACCTGCTCTTTGGGGTACAGGGGGTGGATGTTGCGGGAGGAGAAAGGTGGTAGAAGGTGGGCCCATTTCTGTGGCAGACTACCACAGTCATGGCCCCTGTGGGTCGTGCCTCTTGGGATCTACATCCTTGTATAGTCCTCTCCTGTGTCAGCACTGGCCTTGGCCATGTGACCTGCTTTGGCTTGATGAGCTCTGCTGCATTGGGACCTGTGCTCTTGGAAAATAGCTACTGCCACTCAAGCCACCTGGTCTCTGCTGGGGAGGCCATGTAGAGAACAGAGGCAACTTGCCAGCAGCCCCAGCTCATGGCCAGACTCCAGGGGGGCTCTCCTGGACCACACAGGCCCAGCTGAGTCGAGAGCTGCATGAGTGACCTCTGCAGAGCTGCCCAGCTGAGCCCAACCAAAAGTGCAGCACTTGAGCATAGAACAGTGATGGCTTTAAGCACTAGGGGTTGGGGTGGTAGTTACAAAACAGTAGATGACAGACCAGTCCCCTGTTGATGAAAGGCGAGATAGGTAAGGGGGACTGCCTCAGTGCACACAGCAAGTCCATGGCAGCCTCAGCATGGACACCCAGGTCTTTGGAACCCCAGCCCCAGCTCTGTCCACTGCCCCATGCCCCTTACCTTGGAGTTGTTTATATTTCTGTTGGGTCATGAGCAGCCATGGGGATTCTGCTGGCATCCCCAGCTGATCTTCCTGTGGCTGCAGGGATGAATTCGATGGTGGGCAAGTCTCGTAGCACTGAGTCTTTGGCCTGTGATGTGCTCAATGAGCTGTGATGTAAGTGGCTTCCAGGACGTACATACAAATGTGACAGGACAGTTGAAGAACAATCATTTGTTTACCATGTGTTTATTGTGCACCTACTATGTGCCAAGCAGTGCTGTAGGCACTGCAAGGCAGCGGTGGAGTGTGCTGCAGCACCGCACTCTAACCAACTGAACACCACCCTGGCTTTTGAGAGCTGACTGTGTACATCTCTTCCCAGCACACTGTTGAGTAACGTCATGGTGGTAGCTTGAAAGTGATCCCAGGAGAGAATATTTACACCATGGAAATCAGCAACTGCCACAAACCAGGGGACCTCGCAGCCCAGGGGATAAGCCTGACCATTCTGTCTGGGACGTGGCTCCATGGTGTGTGGAACCCCAGGCCCTGCCTTCCAGGCCTTTCTGCTTTATGCAGAGTCCCTGGTGCTGGCCAATTTCTACTCTGCTGAGGGCTAATTAAAATCTTGTTTTAATAAAACCATTCTCTCTTTGGAAAGCAAGACGGGAGTGTAAATTTCATTGTTGCTTAAAACTAATAATAATTTTTCCAGATCATCATTACATAATACATAGTTTTTTTTTTTTGTTTTTTGTTTTTTGTCTTTTTCCATGTCCGGCAACGGATCGCAACCCTCAGTGTCGCCCCCGTACCGGACCAGGACCGGCAACAGGATCGCAACCCTTGGTGTTGCCCCCGTGCCTCACTCAGCCAGTGAGCGGGAACCAGTCTGCATGTGGGATCCGAACCCTCGGCGGGAGCGCCATCGTGCTTCCCAAGCGGCGCACTAGCGCAGTGCGCCACCGGGCCGGCCCCACCCTGGCTTTTGAGAGCTGACTGTGTACATCTCTTCCCAGCACACTGTTGAGTAACGTCATGGCGGTAGCTTGAAAGTGATCCCAGGAGAGAATATTTACACCATGGAAATCAGCAACTGCCACAAACCAGGGGACCTCGCAGCCCAGGGGATAAGCCTGACCATTCTGTCTGGGACGTGGCTCCATGGTGTGTGGAACCCCAGGCCCTGCCTTCCAGGACCTTTATTCTCCCCCCCCCCCCCCCCCCACCCTAGAACCTTCTAAGAGACAATGCATGGCTCCTCTCAGGTTTTGACGACCCAAACTGTCACTTCTAGTTTGAGACCACTTGTCTTGCTACCTGGCATCTTTGGGATCCGGAAGTGCTACAACCTCTACTGGAATGAAAGTTTGGTGAAGGGAGGGCCTAGCTGGTCATGTTCTCTCTTCATCCTGACACCCATACATGGTCTGACACTGATGACGAAGTCAAACACTTTCTGAAATGAATGAATGAACCTCTAACCTAAAGGGCAGCATCTACCACATTTCAGGCAAACAGGCCCAAAGAGAGGAAGTTTCTTCAGGGCTTGCTGAGACTTTGAGAACAAACCAGTGTTTGCAGTTAGACTTTGTTCCTCTGATCTCAGAGCCACCCTGTCTATGAACTCTCTGCCAGAGAAGAGGCCAGAGGTGAAAGGCCAGACCCTGCCTGGGACAGCAGGGGCTCTGGAAAAGCCTGGGTCTCAGGGCTTGTCCGAGGACTCATCTAGGCAGTGGGAGGAGGTTGTAGGTGATTCTGAACCTGACCCTGCCCATCAGGCAGACCTGGATTCAAACCCTGCCTCATACCAGCCAGGAGACTGATGAATGGCTGAACACTCTGAGCCTTACTGACCTCAGCGAAAATGGGGAGCACGAAGAGCCTGCAGGGCTGTTGTGAAGATAACAGGAGGGACTAAGGATGGAGACCTCCCAGGATGCTCAGAGCAACATCAGGAACATCGCTGGTCTGACCCTCTGCTCAGGGGGAGGGAGCAGGAGGCTCCCACAGCCTCCCGTGGGTCTCAGCATCCATGCCTGCACTGCCAGTCCCTCATCCACACAGCAGGTCTGTGTCATCTCCGCCATCTCATGGGATCCAGCAATGGCGCCTAGGCACACCTACATCAGAACTGCATCCATGGATACACCAGACATGTGCACAAGATGTTTGCAGCAGCAGTATTTGTAGCACCCAAACCTGGAAACCCCCCAAATGTCCATCATGAGTAGAATGGAGGGCCGGCCCCTGGCTCACTTGGGAGAGTGTGGTGCTGACAGCACCAAGTCAAGGGTTAAGATCCCCTTACCGTTCATCTTAAAAAAAAAAAAAAAAAAAAAAAAAAGAGAGAGAATGGGAAATAAGCTATGGCGTGTTCACACTGTGGAACACCACACAGCAACGAGAGGCCACAGCACGGATAACTCACAACCATAATGCTGAGTGAAAGAAGCCACACACAAAAACACACTGTAGGATTCTGCTTACAGAAAGTACAAAACCCAGACAAACCTAATGGGTGGTGATAGAAGTTAGAAGACACCCGGGCTGACTAGAGGTGGTGTCAGGGGCTCCTGGGGTCCTGGTTCTTGATTTAGTGTTTAGGTTGTGAAACTACATCAAGCTTGATTTCTAGAATTTTCTGTATGAATGTTATATTTTAATTAAAAAAACAAAAACAAAACTAAACCATCAACCCATCCTTCAGAGCTCCCCTCTGTCCTCACCACCAACGATGCCCTCAAAGCTTGGGGGGGCTAGGCCCCTGCGACCTCCCCTCCCCTCCCCAGTGCCTCACCCCCTCTCTCTCTTGCCCACCTCATCCAGCCACTCTCCTGCCTCAGGACACGTGCTTATGCTGTTCTCTCTGCCAGGAAAACCCCACCCTGGATAACTCCCTCTCATTTTGCAGTTCCTCATCCTCACTTCCTTGAGAACTCTCTCCATGAGGTGAGAGGACTCTGGAGTCTGACAGCCTGTGTTTCAGGGACTTTGCCTCTCTGGGCCTATTTGGGAGGGGGCAGTGCAACCTAGACCCGGGTTGGCTGCCCTGTCCCAGGGAACTATTCCGGGAAACTCATGGCCCACTCCTCACACCTCCTGCTTCTCAGAGGCTAATAATGGCAGTGCCTGAGGAAACTCAGGGCGGGTGACCCAGACAAACCCGGGCTGGGAGTGAGCACAGCTGAGGTGGGGGCAGGGGGCCTTCCTGGCTCTCTGGTGGGTTCTGAGTCACCATCTCCCCCAGCACTCAGGCCATCCCATGGTCCTGGCTCCAGCTGCTTGGCCGACTCACACAGCAAGCCGCTCTGGTCAGTGAGGCTCCCTAGTTTATTCTCTCTTCATGTCACAAGTGCTTATGCCATTTATCAGGCAATTGTTCTAGGTCTGGCCTGGGCCAGGCTGAGGGATGTACCAGGCCCTGAACTTATGCTACCCGGGGCTTCTCGAGCAGTAGTTGCAACTACCTGTATCAGAACCTCCAGAGCACATAAGAATGCAGACACAAAGGCTCGGACCTACTGGATCAACTGAAGCCCCGGTGGTACCCAGGAATCTGCGTTTTCTACAAGTTGATCTCGGTGCTCCATGACGTCAAAAAACCATTGCTCACTGGGAGAGACAGACAAGGAACCGATTACAATCCAGAGTGGTCAGGGCTGAGGCAGGAAAGAAGGTGCAAAAGTGGGAACCCAGTGGAGGCCCCTCTCTTGGTTATGGAAACTTCTGAGAAAGGACACTTGAGCCAGACTTGGTCAGGCGAAGTGGGGCAGGAGGGTTGGTGCATTTCAGGCAGCGGAACAGCAGATGCAAATGCTAGGAGACAAGAGGGGCCGGGCACCTTACCTGGACTGTAGTTCAGTCTAGCTGGAGAGACAGTGGCGGTAAGAGAGGGAGAGGTGGGTGGGAAGGTATGGCTGCATAGGAAGGAAAGTTTTGGGAAAAATGAGGGGGAGGTGGAAAACCGACTTCTTGTTTAAAATTCCTCCAGAAGCCTCGTTAAGTAGCACAAATGTGACAGAATCAATGTCTTTGTTGAACGCAAGGAGCAAGGAGGCCTTAACCTCAAGTAAGCGTCCACCATGCAAAGCGTGCGCCCCGCCCCCAGGCGGAAAGGTTGTCTGCCTTGTGTGACCTGCCTTTCGCCTGTCAGCAAAGGGCAGAGGAAAATGTCAGTCCCCTCTGGGTCTCTGGCCTCAGTTTACTCATAACTAAAAGTGGGTCGGTTCAGTCCCCTTTGTACCGAGGCCACCTCTTCGACCCGAGCGCGAGCTCTGACGGGCGCAGGTCCCAGCAGAACCAAAGCTCCCACCAAAGTTCAACACGCCCCCCAAGCTAGCGCATGATTGGTCCGTCCTCCCCACACTTTGAGCCAGTCTCACCTTCTGATTGGCTGTCCTGCTCTCTGTTCTGTGCCGGAACCCTCCCTTTCCCTGATTGGCTAGGCCCCTACCTGCGCTCGCTCCGGATTGGGTGCTGGCTGGGCCAGCTCGCGGGCTCCTAGGGGCCCCGCTCTCTGATTCGCCGTTCGGGCCAGCCCCACAGACAGTTCGCTGAATGGCTGCGCCACTACCTGTATCGGCCTCCGATTGGGTGCGCGGCGCCTCCCCGGCGTGATAGGTCGGGACCACCGCCCCCCTGGTTCCTCATTGGCTGCTCGGAGAAGCCCGGTCTCCGGGTAAGATGGCAGCGGACGGACAGTGCTCGCTCCCCGCTTCATGGCGGCCGGTGACCCTTACCCACGTCGAGTATCCTACAGGTAAAAGGTGGCCCCGGCTCCGAGGACGCCTTCCCGGGGCCGGCTCCTCAGGCTTGGGCGCTCCTGCCCGCGCGAGCCCGCGGAGGGCGCTGGGGGACCGGGGTGGGAACTGTCAAATAGTGAGCCACGGAGGGGCTCGGCCGGCGCGCGCGCCGCGCAGGCGCAGTGGTGCGGGGATGAGCTGGGCGAAACTGAGCCGCTCGCTCGCGTGCTCTGCGGCTGCGCGGCCGGGGTGCTCCCCTGGGTCCCGGGGCGGGGGTGGGCTGTAATGGGGCGGGGGTCTGTGTGGAGCGGGAAAGGATCATTGACCTGGACCTTGGCCCTTCTTCCCCGCCCTGCCCTGAGCCGGGGAGGCCGCACCCCCGGCGTGCAGAGAGTGCCTGTTTCCTTCAAACGGTGCTTTGGGCTGCTTGTAAGAGAAAGAGCTCCCCGTTGCAGCGAGTGTGCAAGCCGAGGTCAGGCTTTTGAGTACTTGTGCCACGCCCTAAGCAGGGCATGGCTGCACAAGAAGAGGGGATTTGGTGAGAAGCCAGGCAGCCCCCCGGGAGTTTGACTTCCAGAGCTTCCCAGCAGACACTCCTCTTGAAAACCAGGGTTTTCCAGTTGGAAAGTCCATTAGCGACAGTTCTGGACGCGGTCTAAAAGAGTGGTGCAGAGCTTGGGCCTTGGGGTCAGACGTATCTGGGCTCCAGTTCAGGCTGAGGCCTTGTGCAAGTACCTCCTGGTGCCTCAGTTACTTCATCTGTAAAGTGGGACTAATTACAGTGCCTACTTTGTGGTGATGATGTAAGAGTCAAATAACAGGAGGCATGAGAAGTGCTGAGCGCAGTGCCCCCACACAGTAAACATTCAATAAATACCTGCAAGTAATGCTACCCTGCCTTCCCAGGACCCTTCCCAGGAAGGGGAGTGCCTCAGGAAGGGCCTGCTCATTCCGATATCTTAGGCAGGGATGTGAGAACCTGGCCCTGCTGAGGGCCCCAGGGCTGGGTGCCAGAGAACTTTGGCGCTGGCAGGGTGTTCTGGGTTATACAGAGTGTAGGGCATTCCTGCCAGGTGCTGGGCCCTACCTGCTTTCCTGCCCACCATCCATCCATTCATTCATTCAAGCCAGTATCCACTGAACACCTCCTGAGTGCTAGGCCCTGGGCTGGCTCTGGGTTTAGAATGGTGAACAGGCCTGATATGTCCCTGCACTCCTGCACTATGAAAAACCTCTATTTTATAATAGGGAAACCAAGGCCCAGAGAGGGGGAGGGACTTGGCTAAGTCCTCAGCACCTTTATGGCTTCTGGGATTGCTCACAAACCAACAAGTGAGAAGGAACCTGGCAGTTGTGAGCAGCATGGTGCAGGTTTGATGAGGGACTTGCCTGAGCCTGGGAGCATCTGGCAAGGTCTAGTCCCCTGTGAATGCTTCTGCGCATCTGTGTATCACTCATCACACTGAATCTTGCTTCTTTCATCTGTTCATTTAATGTAGCTTTTGAGCCCAGTTAAGTGCCAGGCACTGTGCTGGGCTTAGGGGACAGAGTGGGGTGTAAAGAGACCCTTTTCTACTCTCATGGAGCCTGCAGTGTAGAAGGAAGAGACAGACATTGGCCCAATATCTACAATGACCAGAGGATCATGAACCATGTCCCGATTATACATTCTCCCACCAGACTGAAAGCTCTGCAATGGCAGGGACACATATGTCTTTTTTTTGCCACTGGGATGGTGTATTAGTCCATTTGTGTTGCTATAACAGAAATACCTGAGACTGGGTAATTTATAAAGGAGGGGGGGGGGGGGGGGGGGAGAGAGAGTAGAGGGGGGGGGGGGGGGGGGGAGAGAGAGTAGAGGGGGGGGGGGGGGGGGGGAGAGAGAGTAGAGGGGGGGGGGGGGGGGGGGAGAGAGAGTAGAGGGGGGGGGGGGGGGGGGGAGAGAGAGTAGAGGGGGGGGGGGGGGGGGGGAGAGAGAGTAGAGGGGGGGGGGGGGGGGGGGAGAGAGAGTAGAGGGGGGGGGGGGGGGGGGGAGAGAGAGTAGAGGGGGGGGGGGGGGGGGGGAGAGAGAGTAGAGGGGGGGGGGGGGGGGGGGAGAGAGAGTAGAGGGGGGGGGGGGGGGGGGGAGAGAGAGTAGAGGGGGGGGGGGGGGGGGGGAGAGAGAGTAGAGGGGGGGGGGGGGGGGGGGAGAGAGAGTAGAGGGGGGGGGGGGGGGGGGGAGAGAGAGTAGAGGGGGGGGGGGGGGGGGGGAGAGAGAGTAGAGGGGGGGGGGGGGGGGGGGAGAGAGAGTAGAGGGGGGGGGGGGGGGGGGGATTCTGGGACAGCTGCATCTGGCACAGGCCTCAGGCTGCTTCTACTCATGGTGGAAAGTGGCAGGCAGCCAGCGGGTACAAGCAGATCACATAGTGAGAGGAAGCAAGAGAGAGTAGAGGTGCCAGGGTCTTTTAAACAACCAGCTCTCGTGGGAACTAATAGAGTGAGAACTTACTCATTAATCCCCCCACCTAGGGAGAGCATTACTCTATTCATGAGGGACCTGCCCCCATGACTCAATCAGTTTCCAACATTGCCACACTGGGGATCAGATTTCTGCATGAGTTTTTGGGGGCAACATATCCAAGCTCTATCAGGTGGGTACTTAATTTATTTTCGTTGAGTTAACCCAGACAGCATCCCAGGTGGGGTGAACTGTGCAAAGGTCCAGAAGTAGGCCAGAGCATGGTGCGTTCCGGGAACTAGAGTTTGGTCCCTGGAACTGGAGCAGAGGGTGAGAGGGAAGCAGGGCCAGGCCTGTGCAGGGCCAGATGATCTGGGCTGAGGGGAACTTATCCTAAGGGACTTGGGAGCCATGGAGGGTCTTGGATCAGAGAGTGGTGAGGCCAGAGTCCCTGGTAGCATCTACAGAAAGGCCTGAGGGTAGCACCAGCTGTGGGTCATGATGTGGAGATGGCCAAAGGTTTTGGGGCACCAGCTACTCCCTGTCCTCACAGCCCAGTGCTGTGGGTGTCAGCTGGGTAGTGGAAAGACCCAGTATCCTGGGGCTAGATGGGGAGACAGAGGCCCAGAAAAGGGAAGGGATTCACCCAGGTCACCCAGCAGGACTGTGGCAGCACCAGCATTTGAACATAGGTTGCTGCCCCATTCTCTCAGGCCAACTCCAAGCCAGCCCTATGCTGGGTAGGTGCAGATGAAGCCAGGTGTGTGTGCGGCCGTCTCTACAGGCCTGGAGTCTGGGCTCAGCCTTGGTGGGCACCTTTCCTGCTGCATGTGTGAGGCCAGGCTGGGGGTGTGGGCCATTTCCCACACTGGGTTCTCCCAACCTCTGCATGAGCCCCAACATGGAAGTGTGCCGAGTGCCAGGGACCAAGCTGGGTGTCTCCCAGGCCCCATCTCATCAAGTCTCACACAGCCGAAGGAGGTAGGCTCTAATATTCCCATTGCACAGGCAAGAGAGCTGAGGCTCAGGGAGGTGAAGTCCTGGCCTAAGTTCATGCAGCCAGCAAGAGCTATCGCAGGAACTGAACTGTGCCCTCAGACCCCAGAGTGGCCACGTAGCTTCCTGATCTCAAATGGTGAGGGTGGCCTTTGGACTCGGACTCAGCCCTGCCCTTGGGAAAGGGGGAAAGTGACTCTCGTCCTTAGGCTTCAGTGTTCCCATCTCTCAGAAGGGTCCAGTGGTCTTCAATGTGCCTCCATCACAGGCCCGTTAGGAGTATAAAAAACAGGTAGTCGATAGATAGCCAATTTCTTGCCCGTGGAGAAGCAGCGATAAGCTGTTAACTGTAGTAAGCAGCCATATTGGGCTGGGTCCCTGTTGGAGTTTTCAGTGTGGACCCAAGTCTCTGGTGTCCAGAGAATATCAGAACTCCCTGGAGGCCCGGAGCTCAGCTGGGGCAGCCCCAGCACAGCACTGTGTCACAGAAGCTCCTGTGTGCCCACTGGGCAGCCTCCCTGGTATAGAGCCCCAGCTCTGGAGTCAGACTAAGCTGGTTCAAATTCCTGCTTTGGCGGGGTAATGGGTGTAGTATCTGGACTAGGCCAGAGACTTAGATATTAGGCCAGATCCCACCACTTTCTAGCTGTGTGACTTTGGGTGAGTCACATAACCCCTCTGGGACTGTTTCTTCATCTATAGAACGGGGACAGTGAAGGCACCTATTTTAAACTCATGATGCTTGAGCTTTAGTGATCAGTAATAGACACGGTCACATTATGCCCATGACTGAGTTGGTTGATATGGTCAGCTGGTAAACTGAGACATCCACAGTTGCCTGTCACTGTGCTCCAGGCCCTGCAGGGACCCCCTTTATGGGCCAGGCCCTACTTGACTTGCTGGAGTTTGGTCTTACTTGCAGGGGGCTGGCCCTTCTGATGCCTTGCTCTGTCCTCATCCCATTCTCTCTCTCCCCCAGGTGATCTCTCTGGCCACCTCCTTGCCTACCTGAGCCTCAGCCCTGTATTTGTCATCGTTGGTTTTGTGACCCTCATCATATTTAAGCGGGAGCTGCACACGGTGAGTCTTTCCCTGCCTGTCCTCTCCACTGCTCCCAGTGCCTCCAGCCTGTACCATGGGGAAGCCTGTCTACCCCTTATCCCAGGCTCTGTGCCTTCACTTCCATGCCTCCCCTGTCTTGAGGTGCGTGGGGCCTCCTAGATGGTTCCAGGTTGTTCACCAGTACGGTTGGGAAGTTTGGGCAGAGACCATAGTCTTTGGGACTAGGTGGCACGCAGCAAGTGCACAGAGGCCCAGCTCACTGCATGTCTTCCTGGCAGATCTCATTCCTTGGGGGCCTGGCACTGAACGAGGGGGTCAACTGGCTGATCAAACACGTCGTCCAGGAGCCACGGCCCTGTGGAGGTAGGGTGCAGGCTGCAAGGACATGGGGTCCCCCGGTCAGGGCGCTGCTGGGAGGCCTGCATCCTCCCACGGTGCCTGGTCTCCTCTCTTCCAGGCCCCCATGCAGCAGTGGGCACCAAGTATGGGATGCCCTCCAGCCATTCCCAGTTCATGTGGTTCTTCTCTGTCTATTCCTTCCTTTTCCTGTATTTAAGGTGAGCTTCTGCCCTGGCCTGGGTGGCCCTGAACTGGCCCAGGCTGAGCTGTGCCTAGGACTCACTACTAGCACTTTGGACACCCCTTGAGGTGGGAGGAGCTGCAGCCAACATGCCCAGGGAGCATTTGGAGGGGGCCAGGAGCTGTTTGGGAGGCCTGGGCTCTAAGCTGTGGCCTGAGACTGTCTGACAGCCCTGTTTTCTCAGAATGCACCAAACGAACAATGCCAGGTTCCTGGACCTGCTGTGGAGGCACGTGCTCTCCTTGGGGCTCCTCACTGCGGCCTTTCTAGTCTCCTACAGCAGGTATGGAGGGAGGGAGAGCCCCTACCCTGCACGCTGCCCACTTGGGGTCCTGCTGGATTCTTTCTTTTTTTTTTTTGGCAGCTGGCCGGTATGGGGATCCAAGCCCTTGACCTTGGTGTTACAAGGTGATGCTGTAACCAACTGAGCTAACCAGTCAGCTCCTGGATTCTTAGTCCCTGTTGGAACCCGTTGTGGACCCTAGTCCCAGAGCCTGTAGAGCAAGGATCCCAGTTTTAAAGCATCAGGGCTCCAGCTTCCCCTTCTAGCTGAGTCCCGGCTGAGCCCAAGAGTCTGGGGACACCTCCATGTTCTCAGTGTCCTGGAGGAGCCAATTGCAGACAGACTCAGAGTTCAAGAGCTGGATGGGAGGGAGGAAAATCCCAGCTGAACCCTCCCTTCCATTCTAGGAATGGGGGAGCAGCTGTTGGGATTCAAGGCCCCACTTCCTCTAGAAGTAGATCTGAGGCTGTGTTCCTGGGAGTCTCTGTCTTATCTGTGTGTGTTTCCACATGTGCGTGCACAGGTCCCTGGGAAGCTGGCACTTGGGCATCGGGGACTGTGCAGGCCTGTCTCTGGCTGGCTCTCACAAACTTCCCTTCTGGCCTTGACCCAGGGTCTACCTGCTGTACCACACCTGGAGCCAAGTGCTCTATGGGGGCGTCGCTGGAAGCCTCATGGCCATTGCCTGGTTCATCTTCACCCAGGAAGTCCTCACTCCGCTGTTCCCCAGGATAGCAGCCTGGTATCTGCCTCCTCCTGCTCCTCCTGCCTTCCCAGGCACTGTGGCCCCTGCCCCTCCTGTGGGTGGGGCCATCACTGGGCAGTTGTGGGTGTCCTGGTCCCAGGCCCAGTGCCCAGGCCTCCAGTGGCAGGCTGCAGGCCCCACTTGCCTGGCTTCCTCCCCCGAGGTTTGCTGCAGGGACACAGCAGCAGGGCTTTCCTCAGGCCTCTGTCCTCACCTAGGCTCTCAGGGACTTAGAAAGCAGCCTGAGCCCTGCGGAGCTGTGTGTACCATGGGGCAGTGCGTCTGTCTGAGATGACACAGGTGACATGACTGGGTCTCTCAATGGCTCTGGGGTGGCAGGCCAGGCAAAGACTCTAGGCAGTGCCAGCTCAGGCACCGATGGGGCATCTGGCTTGGTGACAGCCTTATGCCCTGATGTGGCCCTGCCCTTCTGGGTGTCTGTCTCTCCAGGCCTATCTCCGAGTTCTTCCTAATCCGAGACACAAGCCTCATTCCCAATGTCCTCTGGTTTGAGTACACAGTAACTCGGGCAGAAGCCAGGTGAGTTAAGGGGACAGCCAGTCACCAGATCCTGGCTCAGGGGGGCACAACCCAGGGAAGCCACTGCCCCCTTATTTGGAGGGTTCCCCAAAAGCCAGGTACTGATCTAAGCACTTTTCTTGCATTGCCTCATTGACTCCCCTTAGGAACCCTACTTTACAGATGAGAAAACTGAGGCTCAGAGAGAAGAAGGGAAGTCTCTTGCCTGAGATCTTACAGATAGTAGGTGGGGTAGCTGGGTCCTGAATCCAAGCTGTCTGGCTCAGAGCCTGTGCTTTTAACCTCTATGGCCCAGAACCAGAAAGCTGGGCAGCTGAGATTCTCAGGGTTCCTACGTGTGCACATCCCTTGAGGTTGTTTAGTCCAGACACTTTCTTATACCTGGGTAAAGCGAGGCACATTGAGTTGAGGGCCAGCCTGCATTGCACAGCAAGTCAGGGCAGAGCTGGGCTTTGGAGTCTCCTGACTCATGCTCTTCCACTCACCTCAAATCCTCAATGGGGTGACTGTGGGGGCGGGGGGGAGCTGGTTCCTCCCTGGGTTCAGAGGGGAGCTGAGGTGGGATCAGGCTCTAGAAGAAGCCTGGGAGGTTTTTGGAGGAGGGGCGAGAGGACACGTGGGGCAGGGCAGGGTGGGGCATCCCAGCAGCCAGGAAATGTGTTTAGTGCATCAAGGTCCAAATTATCCTAACAAGCTTAAAGGTAAAGCCTGGGATCCATGAGGAAAGGGGATTTGAGGGGGTTAGGGTAGGGCAATCCCATTAGTGGCAGAAAGGTCCCAGCTGGCCCCACTGAGCTCTGCACCTGCCTCCCGGAGTGGCCAGCCCTGCCTTTACTCCACCCTTCCCAGCTGTTCCCCCACCTGCCTTCACTTGCCAAAATCTCAGTGCTCATCTGCCCTGTGCCAGGCTGTGTGCTGGGGGTGAGCACCGGGTGAGACTGCGCGGCCCCAGCCTCATGGCACTCCCCAGGTAGGGGAGACACCAGGAATGATGCGCCTGCCTGTGTGGTCAGTGCTGTGGAGCGCAGTGCAGAGGCTGGAGAGCTTGTGACAGGAACCTACTGTGGGGGTGGGGGTGGCCTCTGGGGAGTGGGCCTGTTGAAGTTGGGGGCTGGCAGGGAGAGTTCTCAGCAGAGGGAATAGCAAATGTAACTCCTGAGGCAAATTAAGTTTGGTGAGTCCACCAGACAGGCTGGCGTGGCTGGAGCCTGGAGAGCCAGGGGAGGGATGTGGGAGGAGGCTGGGGCCAGATGACACAGGGCCTTGTTGGCCACAGTCAAGTTTCTAGATTTTAATGGGGACCCTAGACAAGCCCCATTCTCCTTTCTGAGCTCAATCAGCCCCTTTAGAAAATGGAGGTGATTATCCCTGCTTCCCTCAGGTTCCTGGGCCCGTCATGGACATGACCACACGCCAAACCAGCTGCTCAAATCCCCTTTCTTACCTCCGTCCGTAGTTCTCATACCTTTGCTTACATACCTCTGAATAGAGAGCTCAGTACTTTTTGTAGTTGTTTTGGTTGAGGATGACAGAACCTGCTTGTGCTGGCTTGTCTGTAAAGGGAACTCCCATAATTAGTTGGAATCCAGCCAGGTCTCTCTTGCCTCTGTCATCTTGTCCTGGCCCCCATGCCCACCCCAATCTCCTGGCTGTACTTCCTGGACTCCAGAGCTGAGACATTATGGTAGAAGCCTAGCCTGGGAGATTGCCCCTCTCTAGGTCCCAATCCCAGGCCAGGAGCTATGAGCTCATGTCAATCACTGTGGCTTCTGGGGGTGTCACTGGTCCATTTTGTTGGAACTACAGATGGGGAGGGGACACTGAACACCAGGCATCCCCACATCCGACCCCCGCCCCATTTTGCAGAAACAGACAACGCAAGCTGGGGACGAAGCTGCAGTGACCGGTGGGTGTAGCAGGGTCCAGCCTCCAGATCTGGCCTGCATGATGCCTTGTAGGACGGACAGAATGATGGACAGAGGGACGAAGCAGAGACCTCTACAGACCCAAGTCACCACGTGGAGCCTTTTTTTTTCTTATTTTAATTTTAACAAACATGGTGGACCAAAGGGCCAAGACAGCCCCTCAACCAGGACCCTAGAGGGTCTGCTGCCTGGGGGCCACAAGGCCAGAGATCCTCGCTGTGCTGCTGCCAGTCCCGGCCGGGCGGAAAGTGCCCTTGGCATGGGCACCAGGGTGTAGGGTAGAGAAAGGCTTGTGCCTCTGGTCTTGGGGCCAGGAATTCCAGGTGGCGTGAAAAGTCACACTATTTATTTTTTGGTTTTGTCAAGGCAGATGAGATTTTGGAGATGGGCCCAGAAGAGCCTGCTCTGCAGTGGCTGCCCTGTGAACTGAGAGACCCAGGTCAGCTTCCCAGGCCCTTTGCCCTGAGCCCAGGGGGCAGACTGCCTCTTCCTGGGCCTGAGAAGTGGCCTGGGGGCCAGAAGGAGGGGAGCATCCCTGTGCCCTCCCTGCCACCATTGCCATTCCAGAACCTCGTTCAGTGTTTCCTTGTCTGGGGCAGGGCCAAGAGCGAGCACGTGCCTGGCGGCTGCTATCATGTATTCTACCCTGTGTCAACCCTACACCACAAGGGCTTTCTCTGGTCCCCTGTCCCCAAGACAGTAGTCCCCTTCTGACAAAAGAGCCTGCACATGTGGGTGAGCAAACCCCAGCTGTTTACAGCTCTTTTTTGTCCTGCCATCCAGTAGCAGTGAGTCTTCATCCCCACTCGAACAAAACACACAGGAACCAGGAGCCGGGAGGAGAGGAGTGAGGCAGTGGGTGCTTGATGTCCCTCACCCTTCCCCCTGTGCACTCTGAATATGTCCTTGTCCTTCCTGACCCACCTCCCATAGGCTGGGAACCTGTGTCCAGGGTGTGGGTTCGTAGATCCCCACCAGACCAGCTTGGAGGAGGGCTCTTCCTAAAGGGACCCCATCTCTAAGTCGCTCTGAAACAGTCGTGGACAGGAGAGCTTCCAGTATCTCGGAATTTTTGAGAACTGAACCAGGCCACTTGGGACCTGTGTTCAAATCCCCCCCCTCCCTTTTTCTTTGTGGAAGTTCCTAATCTGCTGCTGAAGCACAATATTTTGGTGCTTTCTTTTCTCATTTGTTAAAGACAGTGTCCAAAAGCCATTCCAGATGCCAGGACCAGGGGCTTATTTCTAGGGAAGGTAGGTCAGTCCCCACATTTCCCTTTCCTTCCCTTATTATTTTTATTTTTTACTTTTTGCCTGAGACAAGCCAAGTGTGAGGTGGTTTAAGAAAAATCAACAAAATTGTTTACTATTGTTTTAAAATAAAATATTAAATTCTCGCAGCTTTGAGCCCATGTTGACTGAGCTCATGAGGGAGGCTGGGGATGGCTGTGGGGACATGTGACCCTTCCTTAGGGGCAAGGATATGGTAAGACTATAAAATCATAAGTACCTCTGAGATAGCTAGTCCCCTTCAGCCCCTGCAGTATGGGTTTGAATGGTCTCTGCAATGTTTCCCGCCAGGGCCTGTCCAGCCTCTGGTTACATCCCTTCAGTGAAGAGACCTGTCTTACGGAGGCCCATCATCCCATAACCAAGCCTCAGGCAGCATTTTTTGGTCCCAGTTTTCTTGTGTGTGGTGCCAGCTTGGTGCTGGCTGTGCTCTCAATAAGACTGGTTCCTCCTTTATGGGACAGCTTTGAGGAGTGGGGGACAGAGAGATTGCCCTTCCTAAGGTGTGAGGATAAACATCTCCACTTTGTTTAATTCAATTTTTCTTGATTATATGGCTGGGTGAATATCTTGCTTTGGAATAAGTAACTGCAAACTGAGCGAGGCCTTGTAGGAGTGAGATGAATGCAGGTCAGACCCAAGGGCTGGCCCAAGACGAGGAGTCTAATCCTTTTTGATGGGTTAAGCTGAGGTGCAGAAGAGCTACACCCTCAAAATGAGGGTGAATCACAAGTAATCTTGTCCTCACAGGGGCTTGAGGGCTGGGTTGGGTCCCCCCAAGTGGCCCACAGAACCTCAACATTTAGTGAAGGCAACTTCAGACTTGAAATGATCTCAGGTGTGTTGTGAAAGCAAGCAGATTTCTGGAGGAAGCTTTCACCCTATCCTTAAATTATGTGTCAAATAGTTTTGAAATTACAATGAACAAAATATTGACAAAGATGACCAAAGTACAAAAGGAAACAAGACAGCAGAAAATGGATGATAGAAACAAACCCACAAATGCTTGATAGCGGAATGATCTGGCACAGACAAATTGTTTTGCTATATATATATATATATATATATATATATTTTTTTTTTTTTTTTTTTTAAAAAGAATGGTAAAGG